GAGGACGAAGTCATACTGCTGGGGAACAGGAGTGTAACAGCAGTGAGGTGTTTCCCTCAGATGACCAGCATGCCAGCTAGCTATGCTGTCTCTCCACTCCGGAGGGAGGGGGTTAGAAAGGGTCGGCCACAAAAACTATACATCCCAACATACCCTACACCATAAGGGTCCGAAACCGACGGTGAGTTTACTAATACGGAAACAGTCAAAAAAACCAGATCAAACAGGTCGCGTGTGACCGGCCTCGAAAAGGTGTCCGCCGGGCTCTGTGGTCACGCAACACTAACCAACGTTCTGTTTCAGGTACCGAAGAATCAACGAACTTCCACGGTGTAGGCAGCCGGCGAGTAAAAATCACTGTCAATGTAGTAGAAGATTGTTAATAAAGAGTTTGAAGTCGACCAGAGAGAGGATGGTGAATTGAACATTTGTGAAAATGATCATGATACTTCACAGTTGTCTTTGGTTGTTCATGATGAGATGAAGGGAATGCCTACTACTGCTAAGATAATTAAAGGTTCTGTACAACTTGAACGTGAAGTAGAATTAAATGCAGATGCAGTTGCAGAAGGCATACACACTTGTGAGACCGTCAGTGTGATTGATCAGCATGTAGCCCACCTATCATCAGATGCTAGTGCTAAACCTGAGCTAATAGTAAAAGACAGCAGTGGTAGTTATCTTGCAGGTAGACAACTTTATGAAAGCCGAACAACAACGGCTTCTGATCCACCGCTAAGTTCATCAACTGATATCAATCGGTTGTCGTTGGTGTTGTCATCCACAATGAGAAGGACGCCCATCAACTCCAGTATTTTGTGCAATGACTATGATAGTATTGGTGCGTTTGAAAAGACAAAAGATATTGCTCAGTTTAGTGAGGATAAGCCAAGTGTAAATGAGAGAGTGATTGTTAAATTGACTTGCATGAATAAAGGCATTTCTAGTTTCAAGTTACTATTTGAATGCTATTATCTTTGGTGTAAATTACTCTGTGCCTACGCTTGGTTGACCAGATACGCCGTGTGTTTGTTCGTCATCTATATTTTACGATACAATGACATGAGCGTGTTGCCGTTCAGATTTGAGGATATAGCTGATAGAGGGAAGTCAGCGAATGAACTCTGCAACGATTTTCCAACCTAGAGCGTCAACCTGAGAAGGGTTGTAGGCGTACTGCTGTAAGTCCTACAATTCTTCAAAGGTTAGCGCATCGATGAGCAGTCCAATGTGCTTGGTGTGTGATTTTGTACATATGTTCATATTGTATATACTGAATTGATATCATCTGTCATCTAGCTGTTGTTAATTCTGTTTGTGTCCGGACGTCTTCCACTTGGATCATCAACCTGAGAAGGAATGTAGGCGTACTGCTGTAAGTCCTACAGTTGTTCAAGGGTAGTTTGTCGTGCCAGAATCCACAACATTTTATGTGTTGATTGTACATATGTTTGTGTTAAATAATTGTGTGAGTTCCAATTATTGTAATTGTTGGTTAATCTTGTGTGTGTCCGGACATTCCACAAATTACAATCGTCAACCTGAGAAGGATTGCAGGCGTACTGGTGTAAGTCCTGCGATTCTTCAAAGGAATTCCATCGAGACACGATCTGCGAGTTTGTGTGTACTGTTTGTATACACGTGTGGTGTGTCATATCAATTGGTGTTTTTGGATCCATTGTGTTTACCCGTTGTTTTCGTACCTTGTTGTTATTGCATAATTTTTTTAAAATTTTCGTCGTGATTACTTCTCAAGTTGTTTCGAGTCTTCTACGTTCGTGAATGTTTTGATTGATGTTAGAGACAGCAGATGGGTCGTATACGCCGGGGAGGCTAGGCTATTGCTGAGAATGAAATGCATACGGAGATAATAATTAGCTGAGATCCTTCATGCCGGGAATCGGGAGTGCAAACGACTGATGCTCGCATACGTCACCGTCACTAGAACTGAGGCAGAATGAGTGACAAGCGATTGCAGTGGTAATTGGTAGTGAGTAGATAAGAGGATGAGCGTAAAGTATCGTGAGGTGCTGCTATGGTCACGTTGCATTCTGCAAGAGTCATTCTAGCAAGTGGCGATTGTGTTGCAAGATGTCAAGAGGAGGCCTTTATCTGGAGGCGCAGGTCGTCAGCGATGTGTGAGATTGTGCTGTGGGTATGCTTGTGGTGTGTTGGCTTTTCTGTTTGTTCTCCATTTCAGCTCTGTCCGTGTGACCCAGGTTCTCGCAATGGCATCCAAGTCAACGTGTATTGGTCGTGAAGGAAAAAGGGGTTGGATCCCTTTTTTCCCGGGGAGTGTCAATGTAGTTGAAGATTGAACGATCAACTCATGGTTGTTTGCTCAAAAAGCAACTTCCTTATATTTTCGTGGAGGCATCAATACAACAGTCATCGTCTCATCGGTCGCTGTTCTGAAAGTAGTCAGGCCAAAACTCTCAGAAACCTTGGTTCAAGCTTAATTTTAATGTTGGATATATATTGGTGTTACAATAAAGAATTCTCAGGTGTTTAATCGGTGTTTTGGTTTTTTCGTCCGTTATTACCAAGCGTTTCTGAGAAACTTCAAGCGACAGCGTGAGCCCGAGCGTAGCAAGAGCTGGGCATAAACGGTTTACGAGACGTGGCTGACAACCGCCCACACACATCTAAAAGCACATGAAGCCTTCCTGAGCATCATTCTCCTCCACCCACATCACGTTCCTCATCTTGCCTCTCTACTACAGTTAGTACTATCCTGCAGGCTAGCGAGGCAACTTCACTTCACTCTTTCACCACAAACAACGGTGAAAGCCATAGAAACACCCTAAATAGTCTTTTAAAGACACATCGATAAATTCATATAGGAGCATTTAACGTCAGGATTCTCTGCCAAATCGGACAATAGGCATCACTAGAAAGAATTCCGGCATCTCGAGCCATGGATGTGTGTTGTGTTTCAGAGACACGCATACTAGACCCGTATCAATCTACCTGAAGATTGGACGATCAATTGATGGTTGTTTGCCCAAACCCAACTCTATATTTTGGCGGGAGTCATCGATACATATATATTTCTTCCTGTTTATGCAGGAACATACCTATCGTACAGGCATGGATAAGTTATTATATAAACTACACATAGTTTGATGTATGATGAATTTACAGTTTGGTTGTTCTTTCTGACATTAGAGTCAGTCGGAACAGTCTGCTATAAAGTCTGTTTGTGTAGCACATAAAGAGATATAGAAATATTGTCTTCGCATTAAAAAAAACCCAGACATCAGATGAATGTAATACAAATATCTGGGAAAAACAAAGCTTGAAGTCAATTCTCCTATACAACTTTGTTGTGAACAGTACCCTTGGCTTAGAGATTATTGATGTATTATGTTGAGATAAGTGATATATTTATTTCATTTTTTTCAGCAGTCTTATTGTAGTTTTATAACAGGAAACAAATTTGATCGTGGATGCGAAAACTAGATAAGGTCATGTTAAGTTGTTTTACTGTATCAAATGGTGCCGAGGTCGATTCCAGAATTCTCCATTTGCTTCATTTGTGTCTGCATGGCGGACTGTATTCGTAAGTTGAGTAAAATGTTGAAAACTGTTTGAAAACCAGTTGCTTCTTCGTTTCAGATCATGAATACTCATTTACAGCATGTTCGCCAGCGTCTTCAAATGATAGAATTGGATCGTTCATGGAATTTCAGTGGTTATGAGATAGATGGTGTCAATGTAGTTGAAGATTGAACGATCAATTCATGGTTGTTTGCTCAAAAAGCAACTTCCTTATATTTTCGTGGAGGCATCAATACAACAGTCATCGTCTCATCGGTCGCTGTTCAGAAGGAAATCAGTAGAAAACCTTTAGAAATATTATTGTGTTTCATTGTTGTAATATTTGTTCACAGACCTCAGTTGTAACAGCGTTTTTATGTTGGTGTTACAATAAAGAATCCTCGAGTCAACAATTGGTGTTTTGGTTTTCTCGTCCGTTATTACTAAGCGTTTCTGAGAAACTCCAAGCGACAGCGTGACTCCCAGCGTAGCATTAGCTTGTTATTAACGGTTTACGAGACGGGGCTGAGAGATGGTTTGGAATTAATCCTTATTTCATTTTAGATGCAGGGTTGTTCGACCTCGACCAGAAGTTGAATAAGAGTAGCAGAATACCAGAAAGAGAAAGTATGTGAATATGAAAAGGATATTAATGTACATATATATATAAATGTTTATATCAACTGTATATTATACATTAGTAAAAATTTACCTATATTTTAGTTGTGTTTTCAGTCATCGATTCATAGTTCGCTGTTCGTTGGAAGACAGAGAAAAACTATCGAAAGTATTACTGTCATTTATTGTTATGACGTTTATTCTAAGATTATGTCCACAATAACCTAATGGTTGGCTCCGTATTGGTCACCAATTTGCGTTCTGGTTTTTCTTCCTTTGGTTATTATGCATAGTTCCCGAAAGTCTTCCAAGGACAGTGTGAAGTCGAGTGTAGATAGACCTGGAAATTGACTGTCAGCCACGTCTCGTAAACCGTTAATGCTCAGCTCTTGCTACGCTCGGGCTCACGCTGTCGCTTGAAATTTCTCAGAAACGCTTGGTAATAACGGACGAAAAAACCAAAACCCTGATTTGCCCCTTGAGAAATCTCTATTGTAACACCAACATATATATCACGTATGACTAAGGTCTGTGAACAAATACTACAATAATAAATCACAATATTACTTCTGACGGTTTGCTACAGACTTCTTACTGAACAGCTACCGATGAGACGATGACTGTTGTATTGATGCCTCCACGAAAATATAAGGAAGTTGCTTTCTGAGCAAACAACCATGAATTGATCGTTCAATCTTCAACTACATTGACACTCCCCGGGAAAAAAGGGATCCAACCCCTTTTTCCTTCACGACCAATACACGTTGACTTGGATGCCATTGCGAGAACCTGGGTCACACGGACAGAGCTGAAATGGAGAACAAACAGAAAAGCCGACACACTCTGTATCGCGGTACGTTCAACGTTTGCGTTACATTTTTACGTGATTCGTTACATAAAATTTATCTTGTTGTAGTACTTGCACAAGTACTATACCACTTCCATACTTGTAACCACTAACTCTCATTTCTAATAGTTATGGTTAATCAAAGTAAAAAGCAGCGAACCCAATCCCCTGTAAAACTGGTGTCTAATTTAACGTCCTTGATTGCTACATCAAGCAACACACCCCCAACAAACGGCTATAGTGAGTCACATAACTCACGTGTATGCCGTAAGCGTCGAGCTGAAACTGAAAATAAAACTGTACTGACAGCCAGTATTAGCACTACTCCTAAAAATTCGGTACCCTCTGCTCATACAGAACTCCTCCCTTCACCTTATGTGCTTATGGAGAAACTCCAGCCATCAAGCTCTTTTTCAGTACTATCTTCAGAAATAGAACTTCTAAAGTTGTCTATAGGAGAACTTAAGGCTGAGTTAAGGGAAATAAAAAACAGCAAGTCAGTAAATGCTGGAAACATCGAAACCAATACCGAGATATCCAAATTATCAGATCAGATCAGCGATATCAGATCGCAGGTCTGTGGACTGACACCTCTAACTATCCTCATGAAAACGGTAAACCTTAACAAGCTTGACACAGAATCGGTAACTAAGGTAGATAACCTCATTAACTTTGTTACCACAGAAGTAACAAAACGACTCGACGCAAAACTGAGTGCTATTGTCTACAACGTTCCGGACAATGAGGCAATAAAAAAGGTACAGCGCATCTTACTTAGTGAAGCGAAAATGCCTAACTCCAAGACTAAGTGCTACAGGCTGAAGAAGAGTCAACATGAAAAGTGTTGTCCTATTCGATTTCAGTTCGAAACACCGGCAGAGACCAGAAAATTCATTCACTCCCAACACACCCTATCGCAAGCCAGAAACTACAAACATATAAAGGTCGGGGTGGACAAAACAGTTATAGAAAGGCGCGCACACAACTATCTCACTAAGACTAATTGTGAAATAGGTAATAGGACATTGCAGCAAGCCATTATCCCCAACCCTGTGAAAGATACAGTAGACCCCACCGCATCACCCCTCTCAAAACACACAGAAATGTCCCATCAGAGTGCAACACCAGCCGAAAGGCCACTAGACTGTAACCAAATAAATAATAAAACCATACCACCCATCACCGCAGAATCTAAAATGCCACTAAATAACCCCAGAAAAAAAGTTAAAACCCCCCGAAACTCGACTTTGTCCTCTCCTAGCTATAATTCCATTGGTAAAGATAAGGAAAATATGCCCCTAAATCATACCAACAAAAACAGTGGCAGCTTAAATAAGCCCACACTCCCCACGGTTAATAGTATTAGCACTCACAACGTGCTAAATCGCACCGTGGCACACACTAATATCCAATGTCACAACGATGTCACCCTAAATAGTACAAGCGGTAACAGTCAGAACTCGGCTACCAACAACTCAGGGTCTTCAGAGTATGGCACACAAACAAATTTCGACCGGATGTATGGTACAAGTCTGCTGGGAACTAACCCAAAATGCAGTACACACGAAACCCACACAAGGACACAACTAGCATCAAACAATAGGTGGAATAATAAGCCATGGTCATCACAAGGATCCAATCATTTTTTATCCCCCGCGTCCCTGTCAGCGTTGAAAAAACAGCTGGTAGGGATGTTAACACTCCTAAACCACTAGTGCTGGCTCCCTCCTTGCATGAAAACAGGAACGGTCTAGTGCACCCGTATCCATTGGACACACTTGACACTTGCACAAGTATAGGCCAAATAAAGAACCCTACCCACTTCTGTAACCTAACTAAAAATAAAAGTTCCTTAGTCTATAGCAAATCCAGTACTCCAACTCCTAATTCTCCACCGAAAACAGCACACAACAACTCGATAGACATAGGTGAGCATGATGCTGGAACTCCTCTTAACATAGGATCGTCATGTCCAGCAGAACTACTGGGTGCTGAACCATATTCGGGGCTGACTAACGAACTTAAATACTTCAAATGCTACTTCAACTCTCATCTTTACGTAATCCTCATAAATGCTAGATCTGTTCTAAATAAATTGCCGATGCTCAGAGCACTCACAGTAATATACAAACCCCCTGTAATTGTCATCACTGAAACTTGGTGTCATTCGGACATCCTGGATGATGAAATAAGCTTAGATAACTACACACACTTTCGGTGTGACAGGGAAGGTGGTAAGGGAGGGGGTTGTCTCATGTACTTCTTGAATGAACTTACTGTATCACAGCTAGAAAGTAGTACACTTAACATGCCTGAGACTCTATGGGTTAATGTACACTTAAATAACGTAACAGCACTAATTGGATGCTCCTACAGAGCACCTGGCACCTTTAGTAATTACGAGACCCAACTCATTAATACTCTGGAGCAATTAACCGACTTACAATACGATCATAAGATCCTATGTGGGGACTTTAACTTACCTGAAATCAACTGGGATATACCCACAGGTCCAACTAAATTTGATAAGTTCTTAGACACACTGGATATACTTGGCTGGAAACAAACTGTCACTACTCCCACAAGAGGTAACAACGTACTAGACTTAATCTTCTGCCACAATATAAGCCCCCTTTCAACGCTAGTAGGTTCTGAGTTCCCAGGGAGCGACCACAAAACAGTAATGTGTGCACTGCCAATTCCGCTGAGTAGCAATGCATCTCATACCTCCACTTCACAACAAGTAATATATAGGAACTATAGTAAGGCAAACTGGGCCTTAGTTGAATCGATGCTAAGATCCTCCAAATGGGATGAATACTTCACTACTGATGACCTATCGAGAGCCCTAACCATCTTCTACCATAACTCAAACATATGCTTAGATGCTGTCATTCCACTCCAAACACTAAAGGTTTCCCCACACAGAAAGTCATTCATAAAACCAAAGGATCGTAAGAAACTGAAGAAACTCTCAACAAGTTACTTCAAACACCACGACTTTGGCACTCTAGGTCTAATACTTAAAACCCTTAGCTCCATCACACAAGCTCAAGATTTCCGTATGAGAAAGGAAGAACGCATCGCAGTAGCCAGTCCTGCTAGAGCGTATGCACTCACAGAAATCTTAAGGAAGCGAATGAATCGCAAAAATCACAGCATTTCTCTCCTCATAGACAAAGGCAGGCTATGCACTAACTCTGCAGACATATGTGAACTATTCAACAAAACGTTTGCAGGTAACTACCTTAAGCCCTCAGTCCAGCTACTCGATATACACCCTATTACTAAAATGGCACCAACTCCACTGACACCAAACCAAATTAGCACTGTTCAATTCACTTACGCTGACATTAACCAAACTATAAGAACCCTCAAAAGTTCAAAAGGTTTCGGTACCGACGGTATATCATCTTACTTCTATAAATATGGTGGCCCTGACATTCCTCTACTACTGCTTAAAATATTCACAATGTCCCTAGAAACCCAAACTTACCCTGACATATGGAAGACTACATTCATTATGCCTAAACACAAATCTGGCTCGAAAACTGAAGTCAGTAACTACCGGCCAATCAATATCACACCTATAGCATCTAGAATCATGGAGAGACTAGTCAAAAATAACCTAATCAAACACATGCTTAGCTGCAACATCATAAGTCCGAACCAACATGGATTCCTGAAATCCAGATCATGTTTAACATGTCACCTAGACTTCTTCAATTTTGTAACCAGCAGTCGTGACAGACGGCAACTAGTACTTGTCATCTACTTTGACATTTCTAAGGCATTTGACCGTGTTGACCATTTACTGCTAACAAATAAACTGAACTCCTTAGGAATACGTGACCCATTATTAGGATGGCTTAAATCATTCCTTAACAATAGGTCCCAAATAGTTAAACTCGGGTCTGCAACCTCCAAACCTAGCCCTATCACTTCTGGTGTAGTACAAGGTAGTGTCATTGGACCCCTCCTATTTACACTATACATCAATGACATATGCGCTTGCTTCACGCACGGGAAACCATTCATCTTTGCAGATGACCTAAAAGTAGCTTATACATTCCAACGTGATGACTTAGGGAACTTCGAGAATGTAGTACAGAAGGAATTAGATAAAATGGCTGCTTGGTCGTCCCTATGGAATCTCCAATTTAATCTGAACAAATGTGGCTGGATCTGCTTCGGTGCACCCTCAATCGACCTGAAATTAACGCTCCAATCTGCTAACCTAACAAGACTCCGAAATGTCGTTGACCTAGGCCTGAGGTACTCTAGTGACTTGACATTCTCAGAGCAAGTAGCATCACAGACTAGAAAATCGAGGATGCTCTTAGGATGCATACTCAGGAACTTTCACGACAATGAAGCCAAGCTAATTCTGTACAAAACATGTGTCAGACCACTACTAGAATACTGTCCATTTATTATAAGCAGCACTCGCACACGTGACAAGCTAAGGATGGAAAGTATCCAACGATATTTTACCTCAAAACTGCTTGGCTACGATTGTAAGAAAGACTACATCTCACGGTGCATGATCCTAAAACTCGACCCACTTTGGACAAGGCGACTTATTATAAACCTAATATTCTTCTTTAAGGTCCTTCACAAAATATCTTTCTCAGGTAACAGGGACATACAATTCGCACAGGAAGGTTCTTACGATCTGCGTAACCAAACTTCCACAGTGACAACTCATTCTTTTAAGTCAACACTCCGTGAAAACTTCTTCACAGTCATGTATTCTAAAATATGGAATAGCCTACCCCTAGATATCAGAACTTGCTCTTCGGTTACAAGCTTCAAACGCTCTCTATACAGACTGTTGCACTCTACAGATTATATTAATAAACTATTTACTCCTAGAACGAATCAAGCACTAATCTACTACAGCACCTAAAAGACGCACTTCAACACCCTTAGCAATCTTTAAACTATAAATAAACTAGCAGCATGGATGCATAAAGACATAGTACGGAACATACAGGATTAGTCTACCCTTAGAAATAGGACCTATCCCTCATTGTAACCTTCAAACGCTTGCTATGTAAACTGTTTTATTCTAAAGACTATCCCTACCAGAACCCATTACTTATTTCTAAAACGCATCAGTCATTAGAACAATAAAAACGCTCAGACTCATTAATACACATTATGACATTAAATAAACTCTAAGACTTCGCATAAATACGTGAAAACCAGATACAATATAGAAAAATGTTTACTTAAGTATAATTAAGATAAACATTTATAAATGAATCATGTATTAATGTTCTTTTCATGTTCACATACTTTCTCTTTCTGGTATTTTGCTGCTCCTATTCATCTTCTGGTCGAGGTCGAACAACCCTGCATCTAAACTGAAATGAGGATTAATTCCAAACCGTCTATCTCATAACCACTCAAATTCCATGAACGATCCAATTCTACCATTTGAAGACGCTGGCGAACATGCTGTAAATGAGTATTCATGATCTGAAATGAAGAAGCAACTGGTTTTCAAACAGTTTTCAACGTTTTACTCAACTTACGAATACAGTCCGCCATGCAGACACAAATGGAGCAAATGGAGGATTCTGGAATCGACCTCGGC